AAAGTTGAAAATAAAGTATTGGGTAGGGGTAGGGGGTAGGGAGGGCTTTATTGTCCCAATAAGGTGGCATCCATTTAATAATTTGAATTAAAAGTATCATAATCATTTACACTCAATACGTTATTATTACGTACTGTTTTATAATGTACTACAATACTGAGGTGCAGATAATTGCTACTATTTGCAATAAGTAGTATAAATAGCAGAAAATCTTGCTGTTTTAACATAGTGTAAATAGAATCCATTGCTATTTGCACTTAGTGTAAATAGCATCTATCGCTAAGAAAATATGCTATTTACACTTAGTGCAAATAGCCGCTGCCAAAAAAACAGTATTTGTGAGGCTTTCCAAAAGTACCATGTTCCTTTCTGAGTATTACTGTATGTTCTTGTCAGATTTGTCTTGGTGGCTTATCATTTGGTTCCTCCTGAGGGAAATGTTATAGCAGTGCACCTGTATCTGACCTGTCAAAAAATGTAAAAGAGTTGTTGAATTTTAAATAGGTCACAAGCTATTTATTCATTCTTTATTTTATGTCATCCAAAGTGACTTACAGCACACTAATTGCATAGATGTCTCTCTGGAACAACCTGAGGTTAAGTGCACTGCTCGCAGACTTGAACTCAGGGGAAATACAGCAGGGCTGTATTTTCCTGGATCCTGGACGTTTGGTGTTAGCAGCCCTGATTCTCTTTGCATTACCACTGCATTACTGTCATTAGTTCTTCTGTTTATTTTTCTTTCTAGCATGGTGGTGCCAATTGAACTTACTGAAGTTTATTACAGTGTAAGGGCAATGTGTTCGTGCCGGATAATTGACATTGCATAACTGTGATTCAGAGGAATTTTGATGATACTGTATAGTGATAAGCAAAGGTTATCTACTGAAATGCCTCTTAGATGCAGTAAAAAAGATTAGCGTTTTAATATGATTTAATATCACAAGATGTTCTTTTGTACAGTAAATGATGTAGGGTGCAAAAGAGGGCATTTTAAAAATATAATAAAAAACTTATTTTACCAGCATTGGCTTTTCATTATAATTAATGAATACTTTTCATTACAAAAAGTTGTAAATAATACATTAATAATTAAATTGGTTAAATTAATATTCTTTGGATGTTCTCTGTAGATCCCACTTTCTTGCATGCCACGCTTGGTCGATTATGTATTTAGAATTCCAGGACGTATGGTCACCCCTAGATAAATTGAGAAAATGTTTTGATTTATGTTTTAATATTTGATTCATGTCATATTTTGTGTTCTGTCTCAGGCCATTATATTGGAGAAATAGACAAAGGAAGCCCTGCGGAGCGAGCGGGACTGAAGAATATGGACAGACTAGTGGCCGTAAATGGGCAGGAAACAGATAACTGCAGACATGAACAGGTGGTGGAAAAAATATCACAACAAGGAAACAAGTGCTCCCTCCTTGTGCTGGAGGCTGAAACAGAGAAAATGTACAAATTGGTGAGTCCCTTTCATTCATTAAGATTGCTGCAGTGCAGCATTGATTTGAAACATTTACACTGCTACTGAAGAATACACTGGTGATTGCATATTTCAATTTAAAATTTGAATCTTAAATTACATTTCATATTAAATTGTGTAATACTTTGCTGTATAGGGTGGTGTTTCTCCACTTCTGTACTGGGAGGAAATGAGAGGATCTCCGCCCAGCTATCCTGAGCATGAAGCTGAAGCCACACCTGCTCCAGCGGCACCTGCTCCAGCAGATGTGGACCACAAACCCAAACTGTGCCGGCTGGAGAAGACGGCTGCTGGATTTGGTTTCCATCTCAACGGCATCCAGGGACTTCACGGACAGTACATCAAAGAGGTGGGCTCTGACAAAATGATCTGTGCTGACATTTCTAGAAAGCTCTGCTTGATCTCTTTTTAGGCTCAGTTTTTGAATAGGTTCAGAGGTTCTGTCATTATTTACGTATTCTCATGACATTCCAAACCTGTGTGACTTTCTTTCTTCAGCTGAACACAAAAGGAGAATTTTTAAAGAATATCCCAACTGTTCTTGTCTATTTAATGAAAGTGAATAGGGACTAGTGTCTTTCAAGCTCCAAAATACCAGAAAAGTATCATAAAATAATTATAAAAGTTTCATAAATGTTGTCCATAAACCTTATATTCCAAGTCTGCACTCAAATAATAATAATAATAATAATAAATAGATTTATAAATAATATGAATACATTTATTTATGTATTTGAATTTCATATAAAATTTCACCCATTTGAATTCCACCCATTTAACATTAATAAACTAATACATATAATTTGATTAAATCTCATACATTTTAACTGAATATTGCTTGTTCCACGTCTAGCCATATTCATATTAACCATGTTCATACTTTTTTAACTAAATTCAATTGTTGTCACAATGAAAAGGTTTATGCTGATTTTAAGATTTTAGTATAGATTTTATTATATCTGAATTAATGTGTTTTGAAAATATGAATTTTTAAATAGTCATATAGATGCAAATCGTTAGAAATGAACTATGCCACATGTTTTTATGAGTGCAGATTATTTTCTTAGCTATTGCATTTATGTATGACTGACAGCGTAATCCAACTTTAGGTCTGAAGATTTTTTGAGTGTATGAAAGTTATGTCTGAGATTCTGAAATATTGATCGCAATTCAATTTGCTGTTCTCTAGTATATATGAGAAATAAGAAAACATGTAATTTTTGAATGAATGAATGAATGAATGAATGAATGAATAGATCCAAATTTTCATCGATTGAAGAATTGATTTTGATTTTGGAGTTAGATTCACCTATTCACTTTCATTAAAAGAGTGGACATCCTTCAGATATAGAACATGAGGGTGAGTAACTGATTTCATTTTGGGATGAATTAACCTGTTAATGTGTTTTCTCTCAGGTGGTGAAAGATGGAGCAGCAGACAGAGCCGGATTGGAGGATGATGACATTGTTGTGGAGGTGAATGGGGTGAATGTGGAAATGAGCACACATGAGGAGGTTGTGAACCTCGTCCGCAAGAGCGGGGACACGCTGGTCCTCCTAGTGGCTGAGAGGACGGCCTATGATCATCTGAAAGCACGAGGGATCGCCATCAGCCCTCAGCTGCTGGATAAAGAGCCCTCCGCTGATGTCCCGGCACCAGCCTACGCACAGGAGGACGAGAGGAAAGATACAGGAAGTGACAACGAAAGGCCGGCCACTCCACCTGCTCAAACTCGGTCAAGGGTCAGTACTGCTTTTCAGCATTTCTAATTGTTTTCAGCATTCACAATATACCTCACAATACTAAGTTTCTCATTCTGTCATCATTTACTCACACTCGTGTCATTCCAAACCTGTATGACTTTCTTTTTTCTGTGGAACATAAAATACATTTTGAAGAACTGTACACTGTCCAGTAAAATATATTTCTAAATGTAGTCTAACATGTGCATATTCTGAGTATCTGAATATGTACAATAACGTTGCGTTTGGAATGTTATAGACATGAGTAAATTATAATATTATAGTTTTAGGGCGAAATATTCCTTTAAACTGTTCAGTTCAAAAGTGCATTTATTTATTTATTTATTTATTTATTTATTTATGCTTTTCTTCATCTACAGTGCATTAAATTGATCAAAAGTTCAGTAAAGATGTTTATAATGTTACAAAAGAGTTCTATTTTAAATAAATGCTGTTCTTTATTATGAAAGTCTCACGATTTCCATAAAAATATTAAGCATTATTGATAATGATAAAATCAGGTGATTTGCAGTTCAACATTCAATGAGATTTACATTGTACTTATGCATAATGTATTATTTAGGAAAATCATGAAATGTTTGACGCATAAAGAAAAACAAATGTCAGAAGCAAATCTACATCACCAATTAAAAATCGATATTCACTTTCTATATTTGTAGCTCCAGCTTTAATCGAACAAAACAGCCAAGGGCTCTCATCACTAACAAACCTGTTAGTTTATTGAGCATTGAGTTTGTTTTGCATTTATTTATTTGTTTGTTTGTTTGTTTTATTTTCAATTGAATGTTTATTGAGCACTGTGTATGGTTGCTAAGGAATCCTTTGTGATGTAGCTTGAACATTCCATAGAAAGTTCGGTGAGTGTAAATCTGATGCAGACAAAATTACATTTTTGTAGGGAGTCGGCGAGCGCTCGTGAGTATCCTCTTCAGTGGGGTTTGGGGATCTTTTTATGACTCCAAGAAAGCTCTGTTTAAACAGGGCAATGAAAGTAGACATGGTGTAACATTGGTTTTGCTTTGTTTCACAGAACTAATCGTTGCCTGGGTTGCGTACGTATATGTGGGGCGGAGCTATCAGAATTAGGGGCAAGACCCTTTTGGGGTAGGGGCGTGTTTGTTTTGGTGATTTCAAATATCAACATTGGCTACCAGAAATCACTTACTCTGCCTTTAAAGCTTAAGGATTAAGTCTTGCCACACCACCATAATTCCCAGACCGGTGGAGTGTTGCAGTGATGTTTGTCCTGTATGGAGTGTAGATTGATGGGGGGGGGGTTATTGTGTGCAGTCTACACAATAATAAATTATCTTACCTTCCAACAAAAAAGAAGCAACCTGTGCATCACAACTCATCATCAAATATTCCCACTTTTGTATACAAAGCTTTTGTTCATTTTTGTCTTTAGCTCTTTCCTTGTTCTTCGGCTGTACATATACTAATTCTCATGTTGTTTTTGCTGGTAAAGCATTTTAATAATAGATGTTTAATGGCTTAATTTTCACTCTTCACATCACCAAACACCAATATGCTTATAGCATATCTATATATGCTTATAGCATATCTGTAGAAGTGGCAGCCAATGAAGGTGAGGATTCTCGTTGCAGGTCACACCATTTCAGAATTACGAAATACACTGAGGGTGTGCGACCCACACAAAACAGAATTAAACACACTTTTCATTTAAGACATCATGCTCTTCACAAAACACTACTTATTCCTCGTAAAACTTTTTCAGCATCAATCTACTGAATGTACCAATAAGAATCAGTGGAAATGTTTGAAAAAGCCTTTTAATGGAAATCTGAGCTTCCTGTATTTGACAAGAAGTCCAAGACAGTTACATCTCTGGCATGCAGATATTGCCTTTTCAGTAAATCAACGGCACCTGTCTGTCTAACACCCAAAAAAATATATAATACAAAAGCCCAAAGTGCATATATTCTTAAACCTTTTCTAGTTGATGTGATTTCAGCAGAAGATTATGACTCTCACTCAATTACAGTATCCACATGTGAATCATTACAGTTCTTAATGAGACATGGAATGATAGTAACGATTAACAGGCCTGAAAGAAAAACAAGAGTCCAACAGTCCACTGTAACATAACTGGGTGTTGCTGAGATATAGATCTGATGTCTATTAATGATAAAAGATGGCTCAAGAGTAACTGATTTCATGGTAAACAAACTAGTGAGAGCATTTAGTTTGTTCACCTACCGTGGTAAACATAATAACACCTGGTATGGGAAATTTTATGCGTTTTATAAAAATAAAATAAAAATGACACCCACATTGTATACTATTTTGTCCCCTCCATTAATATGAGTCTATTTAAATGATACAGCAAATCAGCATTTTTTGAAACCAAAGTCAAATAAACACTGTTTCTGGGTACCTCCTGATTCAGGAAATACAGACCCAATAATGCTCATTACAAGGCAGAGGCATAAAAGTCCTTCTAAAAGGAGAGACAAAAGAAAGAGACACTTTAGTCCTATGTGTCTCTCTCTGATGAGGTCACTTATGAGGTCACAGGGTCATGTGCTTCTCAGGTGCCTGTTTATGGGCCAGGTAAAGGAAGAGGATGCTGGAGAGAGCACTGACCAGGAAGATCACGTCAAACCAGCGGTGGTAGAAGTTAAACTGCAGTTCTCCCAGTACCTCCGTCACTATGGTGCGATACTCTAAAGGCATGCTCATCCGCATCAGGAGCACAGACGACACAAAATACATGCCCTACAAACAGACAGCAGAGAGTGGGAGAGAGAGACAGAGATGTCGCACCATTTTGTATATGAGGATTTTTCAAATATTAGTGGGACAAGGAATCAAAAACAGTTATTCTTTAAAATCACCTTCACTTTTTTAAACAATACTGGAACCAAATATTATAACATTTCAATATAACATTTAATAGGTCTGGAACACATATTGTGAAGTGAATTCAGAATTGGAACCGAAAAATTGTATTTATGATTCCTATATTACTATGTCATATAATTCATGAGACAACTGATTTATAATATAATATTACACTTTTTTTCCCAATTCATATATATAGAGAGAGACCAGGTTAAAAAATTATTAAAGTTATCCATTATTTCTGCTGGAAAAACACTAAACTGTTTTTATACTACTGTTCAAAAGTCTGAGGTCAGTAGCTTTTTTTTTACATTTCTGAAAGTTTCATGCTCACCAAGTGTATATTTTTTTTATAAAGAAATACAGTAATATTGTAAAACATTATTAAAATAACTGTTTTCTATTTGAATATACTTTAAAATGTAATTTATTCCTGTGATGCAAAACTGAATTTTCAGCATCATTACTCCAGTCTTCAGTGTCACATGATCCTTCAGAAATCATTCTAATATGCTGATGCAAATATGCTCAATAAACATTTTTTTATCATTATTAAATGTTAAAAAAAAGTTGTGCTACTTAATATTTTTTGTGGAAACTGCGATACATTTTTCAGCATTCTTTGATGAAAATAAAGAACATTTATTTATTTAAAATAGAAATATTTTGCAACATTATAAGTGTATTCAAAAATATTTTCTTCAAAAAAATCTTATTAATAATTATTTGTTTATCATAATCAATAAAAAATTCATACATCATACATACATCAAACGTTTGCTGATGTATCTATATGCCTTAAAATTAAAGGGACAGCTCACCCAAAAATGACATTTCTGTCATTAATTGCTCACCCTCATGTTGTTCCAAACCCGCAAGACCTTAATTCATCTTCAGAACACAAATTAAGATATTTTTGATGAAATCCGAGACCTCTATGACCCTCCATAGACAGCAAGGGTACTACCACGTTCAAGGCCCAGAAAGGTGGTAAGGACATCGTTTAAATAGTCGAATAAAATTGTTGAATAAAGTTGTTATTTTTGGTTTCTTTGCGCAAAAAAAGTATTCTCATAGCTTTGTAAAATAAAGGTTGAACCACTGATGTCACATGGACCATTTTAAATATGTCCTTACTACCTTTCTGGGCTATGAACGTGGTAGTACTCTTGCTGTCTATGCAGAGTCAGAAAGCTCCCGGATTTCATCAGAAATATCTTAAATTGTGTTTTTAAGATGAACAAAGGTCTTACGGCTTTGGAACAAGATGAGGGTGAGTAATTAATTACAGAATTTTTATTTTTGGGTGAACTATCACTTTAACAAAACTAACAGTTAGTACAGGTTTTTTATTTTTTTTATTTTATTATGTCTCACCATGATCTGAGCCAGGACGAGCACAATGACATTGGAGGACTTGCTGCTGGAGATGGCATAGAAAAACTGTGAACAAAACATAAAAAGATTAACCAAAACATGCTTTTCATGAGCTTTAAACATCAATTAATGCTTCTTAGAAACTGAATTTGAGCAAGACCAAGTTGCAGTTGCTCAAGGAAATAATCTCCTCCCTCTACACCGGCTGAACCAACACGCCTACGCACACGTACAGTAATATATGACCGTTTCCCCTTAAGTGATAAGACTGAATGAGAAAAAAACATGTTCATCACCTTGGTGAGTGTGATTAAAAGGCCTCGTATGGACGTGACTATGATGATTCCCACCAGGATAAAGGAAATGTGCTGAGACCAGAACTTGACCTGTGGGAAAACAAAGGTTTAAGTTCTTCTGCACATAAATTGCGAGGCTTTATCCATTAGAAAGGGATGAGCAGCATTTGCGCTTATCAGTAGAGAGCAAGAGTGAAGCCGGACACAGATTACATGTTTAAGAGGCTGAATCATTACCTCCTCGTGGGGAAAGATTAAACCGTCATTTAACAGGCTGGGGAACAATTAACTGCCAACCAAAGCAGTAAATGTCAGCTGACACAGCACACACAATCGCAGCATGCATATACAATCGCAGTCAGGAGTATAAAGTCTATTAGAGTGGATACGCAACAATTATGTACATGAGTGTGTACTAACAAATGTAATCATTTTTTTTAAAAACTACTATCATTAAATAAGTAAACA